CAATTCCAGACTGATGTAAGTTTTCACAGTTAAAAATACTCAGTTGTTTAAGCGACACATGGCATCTGGCTAGTGCCAGGGGTTGCCAAGTGTGGCATGCAGGAATGTTCCCCCGACAGCTGAATATGTCCTCCAGCACCTGTGTCCAGGGTGGCCAGCACTCACGACCTGATCCCGTCTCTTTTCTTGGCAGTACTCAAGAAAATCATGCGCGAGAATGGCAGGCAGACGCAGTTAATATAAAACCCTAGCAGGAGTGGATTGGGATTTTCAGCCTGCCATCGGTGGAAGAGAGTCATTACAGCACCCTCAGTATCCTCACAGTTCAGGTCTGGCCAGGTTACCCAGCCAGGACACTTCAGGGTTGTTTTATTTTATACCTAACCCTGCAAGAAGGACGTTTGCTGCTGCTGACAAGAGCCAAAGACAAAAGATTTCAGTTCTACCACTGACTGGAGAGAAGGCTTGAGCTGGTGCATTAACAGAGCCTGGAGGCAGGGGGGTATTCCTCAGTGGGCAGTTTTCCCACTTTTCACAGATCCTGGATGCCTCTAATGTGCCTGACATCTGGATTCAATTTCTTCAAAGAAAGAACCTGCGACATTTTAATCCCTTTGGCGGCTTGAAGTCTCAGGGAAAACTAAAGCATCCATTACATTCATAGCATATTCATTTTCATTGTTGTGCATATATGTTTTTTGAAATCCTATTTACTAGGAACTGAAATCCACCTAAAAACTCTCTTTACAGCTATTCTTAATGTGCTAGATATAGCGTAACATGCAGAACACTTGAGGACTGGAATAAGTAAGATCTCCACAGGCAATCTTCTCCCATACATGTTCACGGAGCCAGGGCAGTCAGATCCCCTCTGCCATACACAAAGTTGTTTACTGTCCGTGAGCTGTGTTTAACATTCCATTCTCAGATATTTATATTCAGAGCCAAATTCAGAGCAGTATTCTGGAAAGTAAGCAAAAGTAGGCTATGACCCATCAAGAGACTATTGGGTCATCTGAAAAGTTTACGAGGTGGTCTGGAATCCAGCATTTATTTTGGATGGTGGGAGGTCACTATAATTAGCTGCCATTCAACTTCATTATACAGTTACAAACACAACCCCCCCCCCCAACCCAGCCCACAATGCGGATGCATCTTTACTGAAATACAACCTATGACATTCTGCAGACCTCTGTAGAAAATGAGTTACCTCAACCATCTCTGAAGTGAACATTTGTGCGCTCAGGCCAGAAAAGCAATTTCCATCTTATGAATATGAATGCAACACCAGAAAACATGGACCGTCGAATCTCGTGATATTATTAAACACAACACCTACCCCTAACCACAGAGTAATGGAGCGAGAAGCTACAGTTGACTTCAGCTCCCAACCTGCTCACGTGCCAAATGTTGTTTTTCAGAGTTGCGCAGTGTAGCCAATGCCAGAGATGTTCGTTTTGATCAAAGTCTGTTTCCAAATACAAATTTGTAACTTATGCATGGGCACGTTCTTGCATGAATCAGACACGCCAATAAAATTCCCATAAAAGTCCTCTAGAGCAGTCGTATCTTTGGGAGGGGGAAGGGAAGGACTGTTTTTGTTGTTTCTTCGAAGCTCGTGGGTATATATTCTAAAGGAAAGAGTTACCCTTGCAGTTTCTTACATTATTAGGTGACGATCTTTAGGCTGTGTTATTCCTGCTTGAAGGCAAGCAGTTTGTGAGGACTCTGACCATGGAAGGACATTCATCGATGGCTTCAAGTGATCTGGACCACAAGAATGCAGATGCACAAGGGTTCCCTGCCCTTCCTCTTGTTTTCCAACTCATTTTTTATGTTTAAGAAAAAAAAAGTAAAAATCAGTGTTTATCTGCTTTCCCTGGAGAGATTGTCGCTGTCAGATTTATCGTCACAATCTCTCTCTGCTGCCAAAACTAATACAACTCTAGGGCTTGTTTGGGCTGAATTACTATCTAGGCTGAGTAATATTCACAGAATTGGTCCCAAAAAGGTGAGTAAGGCTCCGAGGACACAGCATGGTGGTTCATAAAAAGGGTCCTCACCAAGACTTCAATTCCTCTCTGAAATCCCTGTTCCTAAAGCCTTACAAGGACATTCCACAGCCAACAGAAAACACTCCAGACAAGACGTGATTCTTACACGTTACTCAGCCTGCCTTCATTTTGCCTCTGGTAAAGTACACCATTGCATCCGTCTATTCCCTGTCATATACTGAAAGGTATTTATGTAGTTGCTAACAAACATTGAGATATGCACACCTTCAAAAAACACAGTACTGCTTCCTCCCATGAATCACTCAGCACCTTACATAATTGCAGGGGTTATACGGAACCATTTCATATGTGATCACTTAACAAAAAGTTGGTCATAAACCTACCTGAAATGCAAAAATAACTCTCAGTTTTAAAGCATAAGGATCTGCTTAATAAATTCCTGTCCTCAATCTCTTGTTTCTGTCCCTGCACTGCAATTCACTCTCCCTTCGGTCTTACCCAAGCAGATATCAACAGCCCATGTTGTAGTATGGCTCCAGTCATGATCTGGGAGAAAACACCTTCTTTCTCCTAAAAGGAGGCTGTTTTGGTACAAGAGGAGGGGGGTGGCTTCGGAAGGAAGTGGATGCTGTAAACTATGGTCCCCAGGTTGTAACTTCCCACTCATATTTTGGTAATATTTGGAGGGGTTTAGGCCGTATGTCAAATTAGAAGCTTAACAGACCTAACAGATCTGGTTTGTTTTTAAGCAGGACTCTGAGCAGCAAGGAGTTGGTTAACAAGCCCAAATAAACAAGAATAATGGGGGCATTGCAGTCTGTCTGATCTCCCCTGCCATTTTGCATACCGTCTTGCTGGTATGCGGAACAATGATCTAGAATATGTGAGGTTTAAACATCATTAAAGGACTGCTCAACCTTTTCAGAGACACAGGTACACATCTAAATTAAATAATCCCTTCCCCCAACCTTTATTTTAAAAACACACGTTGGGTAGGGTGCCAAGTCTGAGATACTAGGACGCAAATCCTTGTTCCAAAGCAGCCCTTCGTGGGATCACCATCTACATGGCAGTTTTGTCAGCACAATTATGTCTAGTAGGAGTGTGAATGCAGTATGCTGACAAAACTCCTCCGTTATTACAAGTATGGTGACAAACCAGCAGCTTGGCAGCTGAGCTATATTTGCTGGGGGAGATAGTGAAGCTGAAATAACAGTTATGCTGTGGATTTAGACACTTTACATCGAGAAAAACTCTGAAAAATCAGTTTCCATCTGTAAGATGGGGAAAAACAATGTACTGTCTGACCTACATGTAACATTAAGTTATCTTGATCTTCTCTTGTGACCTTATTTCATCAATGAAATAGATATATTTGTGTCTGATGGAGCCATATTTTAGCCTTTTGGATCACCCTCATCAAATCTAGGCAAAGTATGATCTGTACTACAGCATAAGTGCTCAAAAAACCTCAAGTCCTGGTGATGTGTTTTGAAAAATCTGACTAGAGTTGACTGTGGTGATTTTGAAACTTTTAATAACCTTGAGAGTTGGTATCAAAAAGCCTGAAAATTACAATCCAATCAGTACTGTCAATGTATTTTAACAAGAATACTGGAGGGTATTTGGTGGGTGCCTCAAAGGTCCAGGAGAGCCTGGCCCTTACAAAAGAACAAGTTAAAAAGTCAGGTTAAACAAAACTGCAGACTGAACTTTGACTGCATTAACCTAGGGATTTCCCTTTTTCCTTGGAAGATTCCCGTTAAAACTCTTAAAAGGCAAGTACATAAATTACTGTTGATATTTTAGCTTCACCTTGAAGTGATTGCTTTGTGGGAGAAACTCTAATTCATGCAATTTTGTCCAACACATAAAAAGGTAGTCCAATTAAAAAGAAAAAAAAAAAGAAAAAGAAAATCCTCTTCCCTGAAGGCAGATTTGCTAGCTGTAGCACTCCCACATCTGCATCAGAAAACCAGAAATACCTCAGAAACAAAACAAGCCCCAAACACAGTCAGTTCAGAGGCATGGGCACTGCTGTGTCATAGCCCTCTGCATAAATCTTTTTTCGCTTTTTTTTTTTCCCCTCCCCTACTGGGAAATTACAGGAATGGTCTTATCTGGAAGAGGAGATCTAGTCTGGAGAGGTCAAAGCCCAGAGTTAGCTTGTTGGACAGGACAATTGGTCATGGAAAGCTTCCAGCAGTAGCCAGGTTAAGTGAGGCTAATAAATAATGCACAAATGCAAAGTAAGTGACAACAACAGTAGATGCACTGGTCATTAGGTCAAACAGGAAATTCCCCACTAGCAAATTACTCTTAATCCCAGTCTAATAAACTGTAAAACCCACTTAGTTAACTCTCAACTCAATAGCTACCTTCCTAGGAAAAACCCTATTTATCTTCCTTCCCCTCTTCAGAGAAATGTCTGACAGTGAGATCTTCAGGGCAGATGGACAGTGGGAAGCCGTTTCTCTTTCAGAAAAACAAGCTCCGATAGTCCCTGGATAAAGATGCAACTCTGCACCTCCCCACCCTCATTTTTGTAAATCAATTTAATCCATAGCTTTCAGAACAATTTACCGCCCAGCCAGTCCAGCTTGTTTGCAATACAATGAAGAGCACTAAAGTCAAACAAATGCAACCTTTGAAGGGGCGTTGCACAGTTTTGCTTCCTGGCACTTGAAAATGCTTATGTTCTTGCTGAGTACAGGTCACGCGCATTTATTTCACACAACATAAAAACTGTGGCAGAATCTAGGATTCAAATGATTAAAACAGGAGATCACAAACAGTGTTATGGATATCACTAGCAGGACTCAGCCCACCCCAGAGGTGTATGCAAGAGCAAACACAGCTGTACACGTCTCTAAACCGTTGATAGTGAAATGCAAACACAGAAAGCATAGCACTCCCCAGCAGAAGCCACTCTAGTCGACAAAGTAGATGATTGCACAATATTGTAGAGCAATGTGTTTTGATTACCTTGAAGTCAAGGCTGCAAAGACTGACTACGTCATCATCTTTCTCTCGGCGCTTCCTCTTCTGTAAGAAATGAAACTGAGTTATAACTGTACACTTGATTTGCATTCAGAAAGAAAGTTTAGTTTTTCACGAAGCAGACTAGAGATGTTTTCTTTCTTTACACCCCCAGCTAACTGTAATAACTCAAAAAACTAAAGGTTGAAAGCAAATGCAAAGCATGATTATACTGTTTCATGAGGCTTGTCACCTGATCGATACCTACAAATTATATGCCTATAATTTATAACTCCCATAATTGTGGTTGTGAGTAAAGTCTTAAGTAGGAAATCTCAGTAGCAGGACAGAATGCAGTGGTAACCACTGTGAAAGAATTTGAGATTCATTTAGGTAAATTAAATCTTTTTTGTGGTTTCCGAGGTCAGCAATCCAGCATTAAAGTTGGGCTTTTTAAAAGCGTTAGGTCAGACTTGGTGATCATTAGGATCTGAGAAACAGAAGATACCATGCCTAACTCTTATAAAGTTTCCCACCAGCGTGCTGGGCTTGGGCAGGAGTTTGAGTGAGGGGATCTACAGATTTCACCCTGGAGGCAGTGCCAACATAAAGCAGTTTTGCACTAGGTTGGTTGTTCCTGCTCCTCAGCTACCCTCTAATACACGTTAAGAATCCCCTGAATACAATATATTTGGGTATCAGGGATTTGTTTTATAGTGCACTTCCCTAAACAGCTGAATGTGTGTATGTGAGGGCATTTTGATCACTTAATTACTTTGGACGTGACCATAGCTGTGGCTGAAGCACCCCTGCTAAGAATGCAACAGGCTAAAAGAATAAGTGTTTTTGTGGAAGAAAGATGAGGTTTTTGGCTGGGGAGCTCTCAGCTATTTTCCTTTCCAAAGAGCACAAGCCCATGGAGCAATGATCAAAGACCTCTGCACTGACCTTCCTGATACCTCCCACCATTTCTGTACTATCAGGGCTTCTCCATTATTTCTTCATTACCCAGATAATGGAAACCCAATTGTGGACTCATCCTGTTAGACTGTGCCAGCCTGCAGATCACCTGGTCTGGAAAAAACATGGGTCACGAGCATAAATTGTTTGGTCACCCATGAAGCAAGTGGTTGATTTTCATCCTGTGTTTGACCCTTGTCCTTCAACATTTCAGAGTGAGTCAAGTTCATCCTCTTCCATTTCATTAAGAACAAAGGAAAAAGAAAAGAAACTATTTTGTTTTTTTATATTAGTCTACCTGTTTTTTATCAGTTTAACAGACTAGACATTGAAGTAGGTGAAATGAGGAAAACAGCCCCTCTGCAGCTGCAGAGGGAACCACTACCACAAGTCCACACAGCAGTTCAGCACATTCAGTTTTATGTTCTACCAGTCCAGCAGCTTGACCTTCTGTCAGGAGCAAATACGTAGTTCCTGGTTTCTTAGAATTTAATAATATATCCAAATAAAAGTTTCAGCTTTAATAGAGGTTTGTCATCATTTTAAGTGTATTTAAAATGTTTGAATACAAGTATTCATTCAAATTATTTTTAAATGCCAGCCTAGTTTCCATGGGTTCCTCTGAAAATCCAATGCTGTTGAGGGGATGTCCAGCTTCCCTGAAGGGTTCTCAGAAACCTGTTCTCTTGTTTGCTAGTCCTTTCGTATGATGCGTTTTTAGGCTCCAGTGTGTCTTCTCGCCTCTCTGCACTATGCTGACTCTACCATTTAACTATGAAATACACACATGAAATGGTGAGATATTACAGAATTGCACTCACACGTTTCTTGTATTTTGGGTTTTGGTGTCGTGTTCTTTTTTCTCAGCTACTCAAACTAGCTACAGAAGTGGAATCAAGTGCAAAGTTCCCCAATGATTTCAGTTTTTCTGTATTTTTCTGTATTTGCAAAGACAAGATACTGACTCTGTCACGTGAATGAGTCCCTTCACTGATAAACTTGCTAATTATAGAGGAAAAAATTCTCACATTAGACATTATGTTCTACCACATTTATAGCTTTGACACTGAATTAATGTCCCAGCACACTCCATACTTTTTGAGCAGACCTTTGGCAGGCTTAAGAACACATGCAAATGCAGACATTTGGTTTTTTAGGTTTAGTAAAATATTCAGGGTTGGTTATTTATCAAACCCTGCAATAAAAGACTGCTATAACCACACCTTTTCGGTCTGCAGATTATTTTTCCCATATGTAAGTCAAGGATATTAGCATCTATTTAACAGAAGAAAACTTGCAATAAAGACAAAGACACCACGCCTTTTTGGTCTGAATATTATTCGTTCCTTATGTAGTCGAGTATTTAACATCTTTAACATACAGCTCCAGACCAAAGCCCAGACAAGAAAGGAAGGCCAAAATTTTGTTTTTAAACTGGCTAGACTTATGCAATAAGTATTGCATTGGCTGGACCCCATTTCCTTTGCCCAATATAGTTTCATACGAAAACTTAGACATTTCACTAGAGAGCCAGCTGTATCATTCCTGTGTGGTGCCAGAACAGAAACAGATTCCAAGAAAATGGCCTCTTCAAACTGCTCAAATCTGGGCATTTAAAGCCACATGATAGAAAAGCAACTGCTACAGTACTGTTTTCTCACATTTTTGAGACTGTCACGATCAGAGATCTGATACGTTAACCTTCTCACGAAATGCAAGTCATGTGGAAAAAGTTACTTCTACAAAAGTTATTAAACTGTAAAAACCGTGAGACCTGATTTAGGCTCTCAAAGAGGTATTGTAAAGGAGAAGCATAAAAAATGCTAATCAAGAGGGGAAATCTAAATATTTTGTGACTTTATTTTAGAAAGACCTAAACAATGCCATGAGCATGAATGTTAATTACATTTCAAGGATTTCGATTAGAGCTCCAGGAACCCTTTTTAAGAAAGTACCGGTTTTCAATTTGAAAATAATTCTAGTCATCTAGTTTTCCTCTCTCCTACTAAGAGCTTTTGCCTAAAACCAGGAGATTTTGTTCTTTAGGGATCAGTCTGGTTTTTGCTGCTTATTGCCCACCTGAATTCATAAAACACGAATAAGGCTTCAGGTGAGGAATGTGCATCAGGACCGTTAAGTCAACAAAGATCAAGTGCCTGTTTCTCATAAATGAATCCTCCTTAATGAAAAGGAAGAAGGGAAAACAGACCGTGAGTAGCCTTGCTGCCAGTCAGAAGCCATCCAGAGGATGTTTTAACCCAAACTGCGTTAGTCTAGTCTTAGAATTATGCAGAACACACATTAGTGCTCCTCTTTAAACCCATCCCACCTTTGCAGGCATGAAAACGACACTTGGCTTAGTTACTCACTTCCCCTGATGCTCAGGCCAGGTACATTTTAGACTTCTGGCCAAACAGTTGCACAAACTATGGCATGAAAAGATGCTGTTTGTGACTGGCATATGAGAACTTGGTGGTCACGGAGAAAAAAACTCCTTTGTGTGACACACTTATTCCAGCACATGAGACATGACACAAAGAAAAGTAGAGTTCTTGCTTGCCTACAGGCTGTTGCCAAAATACAGCACTCTGGTCAATGTATGTCAGCATAATTACGCTGGCAAAGCCTCTAAGCAGAGATCTGGTCCCCGGCCATGCAGTAAGGGTGTCTGCTGGGAAACCGAACTGCACAGCTATGCACTCTCCTTCATTATTCTTACCCTCCTGTATTTGCTTCTCTTCCAGTGTTAGGTCTATCAGTCCAAGACTAACCTCTAACTAGTCACAGGAAAGTTTGGATCTCCAGAAAAGGGCTGGAGTTCGGGGGTACCCATCGCCTGTAGCTGCAGATGAAGCTATCTGGGCTTGAAGGGAGAAGTGGACGTGGACTGGGTTGATGAGGGACATGATGAAGGAATGCAGATAAGCAATTAAGTCCTTCAAAAACAGTTTCTCCATTTTTTGTAGTCTGTCATGACACAGAATACGTTTTAACTGTAATTGAGAGTTGAACTGAATATGCCTATAGCCAAATAAAAGTGGATTAAAAAAAGATGCAAAGAACAGGAATAACTTGAAGTTCAATCAAAATACATTTAATTTGTGATGTTAGAGCACAATAATTTAAAATCTGAAAGAATATAATTTCTAGGGCTTTGTAAACTTCAAATGTCTATGTTTAATATAGCTGTAGTCACCAGATGAAAGTTTCTAAAATTAAGCAAAAGAAAAATCTACATGAGATTATGGTTTTGTTTAATCCACTCCCACACTGGACTAGTGTTTGTGAAGCCTCAAAATTGCACATGGCTGCCCTTCAAGGCACAGCAAGCAAAGTGCCTGTCTAAATGCATGCTTTCACAAGAAGCTCCCCCTGATTTTAGATGGGATTTCCTTCATAAAAGGTAGTCCTGTCCTTTTTCCCCACCTCCAGACATGTTCTCACGCCCTTCCTCGTGCCGACACAGGCATTCATACAGCTTGTGCAGTTAGCTGGATCAGCTCATCCAAAACTCTTTGTTTTCTTTTTGGTAAGGCAAGTTTTTCAGCCAGATCAGTTTGCTGGCTGAGGATGGAATCACTGCTTCCAGGGGCAGTGGGGGGCAAATCAGCTTAGGCTGCTCATGAAAATGAACTTTAAGATGGGACAAGATCTATATATGCAACACGAGGCACTAAACACCTACTTCAGCTGACTAATCTCCTTTCAATCCTTAGTGTGTGAAGAGGGTCAGACCTCATGAAGCAGCAATTCAGGACAGAAACCCAGTGTGGGTCTTCTGAACCACTCTCCAGAGTGGTTCATCTTTCTCTACCAGATCCGGAGGCTTGATGTAAACCACTTCCCTAGCAAGGGATGTATGGTAAAGGATGGAGAGAAGAGAGTACAGGGCTTACAGCAGTAAGGCCATGAACTTGCTCTAGGTAGCTTCTCAATACCACATGAAAGACAGATTTTTTGCATTTAAGGAGGAAAAAAAAAAGAAAAAAAAAATTTACACCGTGTTTTACATCTCATCTATTGCACTGCCATCTTAATTAGCAGGACCGCTGAAACACATCAGAAAGGAAGAAGTTTATAAAGAAACCATGGTGTGCAGAATATCCTGCCTTCTCTTAATCACTGGGTGCAAAAAGCACCCTCCAGCTACAGCTCAGAAGCCTCAATGGCTCGGAAAGTGTCTAGCCAGGTAGAGAGGAATGTGTTGATTTTCCTTCTCCTCCAGGCAGAGGGACCTTCACCTCTGGATTCCTGCTTTCTTTTTTGCATGCTTTTGCAATATGAACCCACCGGTTGTTTTACTCACCAGGGTGAAGTCCCAGTGTGGTCCTGGAGTCAGAAATGTGAAAGAGCTGCCTCGTCTGAGAGGGTACCTGTGAGCAGAAAAAAGGAATAAGGTAAATAACCTACAGGTTGCTGTGGCAATTGATAAAGTAGATCTGTTTTCCGCAACTTTGATGGTATCATACATCTTTAGCTCCTAGCACAAAAGTTGCGAAGACAATGATGTAGCACAGTCTTTGGGAAGGAGAGACCAAAAGGATTGCCAGTATTCCCCACCACCACTGCAGGTGTTAGAATAAAAATCCGGGTTAACTACAATAAATGGCTCTGTGTAACAGAGGCGGGCAAAAAACCTCCCGCTGGGCCCTGCAGGCAGGTCTGGAGGAAAATCTCTTTTTGACCACAAACCTGCCAATCTGACCAAGAGCAGGGATAAAACAATAACAATAATAAAAAATAATAATATTGTGGCCTCATTTTCTGAGGTTAATGAAGCTGAAACGAAAGGAGGCAACAAACTGCACCTTTGACAATGTAGCCTTGTAGTTTCACATAAAATTACAACCAGGAATTGAGTTGTGGTCTTTCATTAAGTCACTCTTGATCCAAGAAAGTTAAACCACCAGAAAGCACTACACACAATAGACCGTTTGTATAATCCTTGCTCTTTGAACAATGGTAAACGAATTGCCTTATGCAAGTCATTTACTGTACTAGCACCGAGTTAAGCAAACAAGTTACGTTCCAACTTTCACTGTCTGGTGGACTTAAGGTATGTTTCCAGCAACATTTTTTTAAAGCTTATTCTGGCCATAGTATGGAGAAACATTTTTGTCTGTCATTGGGTTTTCTGCATGTAGAATTTTAGTCCCAAACGGGCCACACACTTTTTTTCAAAGGCAGCCAGCTGCATCACCTAATGGGGAGATGATTTCCCCCTTGCTGTCACAAACTCAGACAGAAAAGGCACCTCCGCACCAGCTGCACCTTTCTTCTTCGTACTAAGATCCCACAGGATTATCAAAAACCTGGAAATAATATAGGAATGCAAATCCTTCCGACTTTCAGGGGACTTGCGCTCCAGCATTGCTCAGGCATTACTGAAAATTCATCTCACAGCACATTAGTAGTATTTAACATCAGCAGATCTCCGTATCGGAAGAGAAAAAGCATTTGTCTGCAAGAGGTTTGTGCAGGGTGGGGTGTTCTGGATTGGTATTTGGAAAATACAACTCAACTACCCAGAAAATACTTTTGCACTTCTACCAGCCAATGCAGAGCAACAAGATAAATATTTTATGAAGTGTACCTTATTGGAAGCAAAACATGAAGGATTACAAGATGCTTTTGGTGATGAGGCAAACATTTTATGCAGCAGATGTAGATTGCACAGGTGAGCTTATTAGCACTTTTCCTCCAGAAATATGTTTCTATGCTGACCTTTTGCTTAGCATGTCTGTTAGTACACTCAACAGTGTATTTTACATCAAACTCAAATCTGAGAATCAATCTAACCAACTGCTGAATGGCTGGGCTCTCTGTACTCCCTGCTCTAGGAAGGACCAGTGTCCAGGCAGTGGATTTTTGGTTTTTTGGGATGACTCAAGGAGATGACCCAAAACTGTTATCTGGTACCAAAAAACCAAGGCCACTACGTGCAAGAAGGGCATATTCTCTTCATTCCTCATTCCTGGTGAAGGAATGTGTCTGATACACATAAAAAGCTGAAGCAGCCTTAGCAGCAAATTGTATACTTTGATCCAGACAGGGAGTGAGAGCTGTTTGGCCATCTCAGTAGGTCCCATGGAATAGGAGCAACACTTCCCTGGAGCTTCTGGGGTAGCTGAAGTCCCCTCAGGACCCATGAGGGAACGTTTCACCTGCTCCAAGGGTTCAAAGCAAGGTAGCTGCCATGTGAGCAGTGAAAACGCTATGCAAGCAGCATCTGCAGTGAAAAACCAGGAAGCAGGAACATTGTCATAGTCTTGAAAGTGGTTAGCGTAGTAAACAGGCCATCTGTCATATATATACACATGGACTTAGATAGCTAAATGTATAGATATCTAAAATAAATACCTAAAATATATAAAATGTATAAATATAAAAAAATGAGCTTGTTCAAAGTACCATATGCATGAATTATGACTTATGTAAAATCAGAGGAAGCCGTTCCTCGGACCACACAACCCTTAGGTACCTTAAGATCAGCCAAAACCTTTTAGTACAATTGCTATGTCTGTGACACTGCTCCAGAAAGGAAAGTGGCATTTCCAAGAACTGCATACCAGTACACTGATTGCTAGATGGAGAAGAAACTTCTGGAAGGGAACATTCTTTGGGATTTATAAGAGTACATACCGCTCGGGACGAAAATCTGGGAATGAACATCAGATTTCTTTGAAATTTAAAATAGAGTCATTTTTTCTCATGAGAAAGAAAAATCTGTACTGTTTAATCCCAACATCTAACCTGCTAGGCTGCCCCAACAAAAATTTATGAGTTTGATTAAACCTTGACTACAGATAGAAAAGCAAAGAGATAATTAATGGTCTGCAAACTGTGCCCTGCGCAGCTATAAAGAGCTACCAGAATGGATTAAGCCTTGGTCGCTACGGCAGGCATGAGGTTTCATGTCGGGAAGCAGGAGCATAATTTCATTCCCTGAATCTTGGTCTCCAACACCAGGGGCAGCCAAATTGCGGCCTGGAAGCCACGCAAAACATGTGGACTGTTCAGAGTAACTCCCAGTCATCCCAGTATGGATGAGGGCTACTTGTAGCTGCTCTAGCTGCATTGTCTGGAGTGCTGGGTGCACCCCCAGTTGTGCCCCCCATCCACGGGGAGCAATGGGACTGCAGGTATGAAGCTACCATTAAGAACAAGTATGAGTTTGGCCCGTTTTGTGCTGGTACACTCAGCTTCCAACCAAATGGAGAATTTATGGGGTACAGTCAAGTAAGTTTGGCTACAGCAGCCTTTCAAAAAGCTCAGATTTAACAGTGTTGTACAGCTATCATCATGTCCTCTTACACTCATAGGTTTAAAGCAACCACTGTAGGGTTCCATTTGCCGCCCAATGCATTTAATTCCTATTATAGAGGCATTATAATAAGGTTTTAATCCAAAGCAATGTTTTATTTTGGCATGCATACTGTAAGGCAATGTACCTCGTGGGACTGCCTATGCAGTATTTCACTTTCTCCTCTGCTCAAGCTGAGGTGAGACTCACAGCTAAATGGGCAAGATGCCTCCCACTCTGGGCTCCCCACTGCCCCTGAAAAAGGCTTTTCTTGGTGTCTCCTGGGAACCTGCCTGATGATATCTTCCAAAAGACAACCCGCAGAGATGATCGCACAGGTATTAACCTCTCTACTGCTACTGCTCAATATCAAGACTACACAGGCAGTATTCTTTCATGAAAAGGAGAAATGATCATGGATGAGAGGCAGTAACTTGGAAACCTCCGCATTTTAAAATGAGTCGTAGGAGTGGGGAGTAAAATAGGATCAAGGTTCAAAAATTTACAAGCAGCTTTTTCTCTAGTTGTCTACAAGAGTTGGAGAGAGATTTCTCCATCTCAGACCCCATCATCTAAACTTCCTCCCTTGGTCACTCAGTTGTGGGGAGAAATGCAGCTAATCCCTCCCACAAAAGGAATGTAATATAGAAATACCTGCCCTAGTTAAAAAGTTCCCATCAGTCCTCCAAACGCCCAACACAGATCTTCTGCCACAACAGAGCCTGTTATAGACTGGCTGCTCTTTTCTCCTTTTTGATGGTCTAGTAAGAGAACTCGGTCAAGAGAAAAGGGCAAAGTAAAAATCAGAAACTGCTCCTTCCCACATGCCACCAACATCAACAGGGTTCTGGGAGGAGGAATTCTCGATTCTGTTCTAGGTCTTGGTACATTTCCTGACCATGTTTTGTTAATAGGAATCAGCCTACACAGTGGTGTAAGGAGATCTTACTGATCCTCCTTCTTTTTCAAGTCTTTGGCCAAGTATGGGGAGTTGAGATCTGCCAGGAACCGCCAGGAGTGGCAAACTGACAGATATCGAGGGAAGCAGACTCTTGGGCTAAGTGGAAAAAATACATTTAGGAGAGCAGTTTCTGTCACCTCAAAGCTTCATCACAGCTGGTTCCGGTGTCCCCTTTCCAGTCACTGCTTGCTAACCGAGCCTTGATGAGGCACCATTTAAGCAATGATCACTGGGATGATTGCCTGCAGAACTGCTTGATTTTTTTTGCTCTGCCTCAAGCTCTGCCTGAGCCTGCAAAACTCTTCAAAAGTACAGAGCCAAAATTAGTCACCTGCATGACTACCACACGTATTATGGGCAAATGGATGACTCATGATTGCAGTGCTCACATGGGCATCCCTTGCAAGGTCTGTCAAGAATCTGAAGGCAGCTCTGGTGAATGGAAAGGTCAGCGATGACCGTAAGAGCAATCCTGGAAGTTTTACCTAATGCATCTCACAACACAACATGAGAGAAAGCAGAGCTGCGTGATGGAGCACTGCGCTGTTGGTCATTGCTCAAAACACTGTATGATTAAAGGAAACAAGTGCGGAGTGGCCTTGATGCAATTTTTTAATACCTGAAGATAGCAGAATACAGTATTGTGCTGGTGCCAGCAGTTGGATACAGTTAATTGCTGTGTTTACCACAAAGCTGTTCCAAGAGCCCAGCCCTGTTGTAGGGTCATCCATAGACATCCCTGCTGTGTCACCCAGGGCTAAAGTTGCATTCAGTGACTTCCCTGAAAAAGATTCTTCTTGATAGACTGTCTCCAGCATAATTTCTTTGTTTAAGACAGGACGAGTGGATACAGACTCTTTCCTTATCTTACCAGGCTCAAGACAAGCACAAAGTGTTAATTAGAGCTGGCTGATTCATGTTAACTTTGAAACCTATTTCAAAGTGATTAAGAAGTTCAGGGTTACAAAGACAACTACATGAACACGTAAAAATAATTTTTGAGATGACAAATGTTGTGGCAGCACGCTGGTAAAGCAAATGTCTCTGAACTAAGAGCAGGGGAAGGCAATCTTGTTGAGACTGTACAGAAAGAACAAACACTTCTGTTT